CGCACGCATCTAGCTCCCGCGTTGGTCCAGCGCATCCACCGCGAAGAGCCATTGACATGGTCATTGCCGCCGACCAGCTGCAGGGGGCATGCTTGAAATACGGATCCACCTATGCACTGCCTTCCTGGATCTATTGAAGGCCTTCGACACGGTGAATCGCGATGGACTCTGGAAAATCACGCAGAAGTCCTATTGTTCTGAGCGATTCGGACACATGATGCGTCGCCTCTACGACGGAATGATGACGCTGGACCGGACAAAATCGTTGACTCAGAGGCATGTGCGATGACCAAAGGAGTGAAGTAAGACTGAATACTCGTCCTCACTCTCTCCAGTCTCATGTCCCCCGACGTGATGGTGGATACCTACTGTGATAAGAGCCCTGGCATCCGCATCGTTTACAAGACCGATAAGCATCCTCTCAATAACCAGCCCATGCAGGCCCCGATGCGTTTACCCACAACTACTATCTACTGATGGTTGTGTACTCAACACCGTAACAGAAGCGGACATGCAACAAAGTATAAACCTTTTGGCCTCCTGGTGCGCCCAATTCGGGTTGATCATCAAGACGGACAAAACAGTGGTCATGCACAAACCGCCACCGAACGCAGCACACAGCATTCCTCGCATCCCCGTCGACGGCACCTAAAAAAAGACCGCAAGCAGCTTCGCCTACCTGGGCAGACCATTCTCAAGCTGCATGAAAATCGACAACGAAGTGGCTCACCAGACCTTTAAAGTCAGCCGGGCCTTCGGCCGGCTGCACAATTAAATATGGGATCGCCACGTTTTCTACCATAATAAAGCTATCATCTTGTTGACGCTGCCGTATGGAGGAGAGTACTGGACAGTCTACGATAAACAAGTCCGGAAACTCAGTCATTTCCACCTCAACTTCTTCGGCAAACCCTAAAACTGAGGTACCAGGAAGAGAGCGGAAGTTTTTGGACGGACGAGGATCCTCAGCAATTGAGCCGCCACTTCGTAAAGATAAATGACGAGCGCCTACGAAAGCGATTCTTCTACGATGGTGCCACCATGGGGTGCTCACCGACCAGGAGGTCAAACGCGACGATACAAGGTCGTACTAGTCGACGCCTATCTAAGAGAATACGAAAACACCTCCCGGCATGGCTAAGAAACATTCAAACTAGGAGCACAAACAGCGCCGCTCTCACGCATGTTCTTGATTGCGGGTATCGTGTGGACCCTGAAAGAACTTTCCGCATGATTTATAAGGCCTCATTGAGCTACCCTAGACTACTGGGTCAATGCCTGTTAGCAACAGCAGAAGCGGTCGCCATGAGGTTACGAAAACCGATCTTGTGTGCGCACAGAAGAACCACGTTCAGGCTCCACACCTGCCGTGGTCAAAGGTCGACCAACCATACACCTCTCTGCACCCTTCTGCTCACACGCCGCCCCTGTCATGACTCTTACTGTCCTCTTTCCCTTCCATATTTCCACAACCCGCCTGTGTTCTAAGACAATTCTCAGTCGACTTCTCTAGTCCCTGACATGTTTTACTTGGCCCATTCCCATATATATGTATTGGCCTGACGAGAGTTTATCAAAAGCAAACGTATGCTCGCCAACTGCTTCGAAACGCCTAAAAATCAGCCCGAAAACCTGGGAAAACTTCCCATGGAACCGACTGTCCCAGGGGAGCACAGTGAAGATTGGAGCAGCAATTTATGCGGTTAACCGTATGGCCTCTTCCAAAGACAAAAGAAGCGGTTCGTAATCCTCAAGCGCCCTCGTTTCGCAACGTCAACACTCAACCTCTTCGAACGTGCCCACGTTGCCAACGAACTTTCCGCACGTGGACTGGTCTCGTCAGACATCGCAGGACCCAGTGCAACCACCAACCAATAACCCCATCTGCTGCTCACGCGACCGCTCCCGTCGTCACTTCCACACCAACCCCCACGGCGTCGATGACGACTACGGCTTCCAATACCAATGATGATCACACTTCTGATGCCCCGTCGCCATCGATCACTACCGACTCCATCAATCCTTCAAAAATCTCATCGAAAACGGCTACGAATATCAGCTCGCCCACACTCGTCACTGGTGGGAAGACACCCAACGCTTCTTCAACCAATGCCTCCCCTCCCACTACCAAGTACGTGAACTGGGGCTCAATCTGTCGTTGTTGTAATCGCACATTCACGTCACGCATCGGCCTGGTCGATCACTTGAGAATTCATCGAGCTGCAAGTGATGCACCAGAGCACGTGTCAAGTCTGCGTACACTGTCCGAGCACATCCAGTAACTCCTTTGGCCTATTCGGTCATATGGGTATACGCGAAAGCGGAATTCACCGCAATATCGACACAAAAGGCGTACATTGGACACGCAGCAACTATCGTATCTCCAGCTCAATCGACTCCCCATGCACCAGCGCGGCCACCACTAACAGCATCACAGCTCCAACCAACTCAATGTCTCCCAACCTCTCCTGTCCGCACTGTCACCGCACATGCACGTCACCCATCGGCCTGGTGGGTCACTTGGGAATCCATCGCGCAGAGGTCGACGAACCAATGACTAGAGCACTATGATATGTCCGTCGCTATCGCCTCAGCTGCCAGTATTGCATTCGAGCACTTGGCCATCGCATGAGTCTACTCAGCAATGTGCTCTTCTGCGAAGGTGTGCAGTAAATCACTGGAGATTAGACCAAATCACTATGTACTTCCGCAACAATGGATGCCCCTCAAATGAGTACCCTCAAAATTATATAAACCAGACACCCCTCACGTAAGCGACCGGTGTGCTCTTCGGCTCCATCGCCGCGTGGCTACTCCGCAACCACACTTGATCCGGTAAACGGCTCCAGAGGTTCCATGCCTTTGCAATTGTTCTTTCGGCCTCATGTTCTGGCGCCTGGTGGTTGGCTCTAGCCTGCGTGCAGTCCCGACTACAAGTGGAGTGAAAAGGCGACTGAAGTCCTCCAACACGTTCTTCACGTATAGAAGAGCTCTTCAAAATTTGGGGCTCAAGCCGGGAAGGGGGAAAGAGCAAGCGAGGCGGTGTGCAAATCTTTCATTGTTATAAATCAATCCATGCGCACTGCCAGCTTATATTCGTGTATGCGTGACTCGAGCATTCGTTTAGTCTGACCGGCGTGATAACAAGGACAGTTTAGGCACGAAATACAATAAACTGCTCTCGACTGCCCCCTTGGATTAAATTGTTATTTTTTAACCCTGCTGCGCATTGTAGTTTTGGGTCAGTGGGCAATTCCAACGCCTAGTCCCATAGCAGTACCCTTGGTGGCTTCAGAAACGTCATTTATGTATGGCAGAGCATGCCGTATTCTCGATGGTGTTTTCGGTAGGATCCTCCAGAGGGCAAACACGTAGGCATCGGATCATAAACGCTATCGAAAAGCCATTCCACGTAAACTGGTTGCGGAGGCATCGAACCTCACGTGCCATGTCCTCAGGGCTGTTTCAATGAATCTGGACCCGTTGGGCGAGTGTTCTCACACGAATCCGTTTTTGAGCCATCGGAGGCTTGCTGTGAAGCCTGGGAGCCTGCGTGGTGTTTGCTGCCTTCCTGTAAACCGTGGTCTTAAGTTCGGTACTGGGACTGCGCTTGACGGGCGCATTAAGAAAGAGAGATCGCTGATACTTTTTTTCTTTCATGCGAATTGTATATTCGAAAAAACTGGGACGACCAGATTGTGGAAATTCTGTAACATGCTCTTCCTGACGATAAAAAAACATGTCATCAACGTAATGACGTCAAAAGATCTGCTCCTGTCGGAAGAAGGCAGTCTTTTCCAACTCTTGAATATTACTTACGGTCTACCACCTAAGGAGCCCCCACTCGATTCTGGCCGCCAGGAGAACACTAGGATTTTTAACCTACAAATTAATGTGATCTGGTTTATCAAAAGCATAGATTTTAGCGTCCTAAATTTCCCTCGTATGCGGCATTCCCCAACCGGGTCCGAGTGGCGACACTCTGCTTTGTCTTGAAGCTGCTGTACGTGAACCCACCTGCGATGGATACTGACGGGATTTCAGCACACAATTCAAATTCCTAAAATCAGAGCGGATCAGGGAACGCTCACTCCCGGCAACTTTAAATACTGCCGACAGCAGCGTCCAGGGTGTAAGCACGTAATTCAGTCGATAGAACGTCTGATCAAATGATCAACAGGATCGACCCTCTAATAGCATACGTTTACGGCCGGAGCGCAGACGTATAGCTAACTGGCGATGATTAAGGGCTCTTCAAGTCTTCCTCACCCTTATAAGTGATACTAGCTCATTTAAGTCCCCGGGACCCAACCACACAGTCAAATTTGACGAAGCAGATATTCTTGCTAGAGGTGAAAACCGCGTGAGCCGCGAACTGCTCGAGTCATGGTTTTCCGGTCCTAACTCAAGCAACAAGCGCAATGACCTCCCCGTTCCATATTCGGCGTTGAGACGTAGTCTAGGCAAAGTAGTTAGCCTCGAGGACAGCGTGCAGATGACCACTGTTCCTGGGGTCAATATTGGCGAGCCAAATTGCCCAAGAGACCACACGGATGACGAAATCCGGCCGTAAGTAACTCGACTGCGTGCGGTGAGCGTGGGGATCGATAATCTTGACCGGTACACAAGAGCATAGCAACTGCATTTTCAACACCTGGCCAGTCGAGCCGCGATGCACTCGGGAGCTGCCAACTGCGATAGGCATGTAGTGGCCTAGCAACTACATCCTATAAATACTGCAACACCTGGGCAATTTACCACCCTTATTTGACTCTGTCTCTGATGATGGATTCGAGTGAGAATCCGAAGCGTCGGGCTAATAAGGCTCTTGTTCCAGCGATCGTGTCTCCGCCTTCGCAATTCCCGGTTCAATCAGAATCAACACGGAAACAAATTGCAGCGAGGGAGATAAATAATGCATCTTGGTCGAGAGAGAAGAAATGAAAAGGGAAAAGAAGGCGGCCAAATAAATGTCGAGGATAAAAGGTGTGCACTGGAGTCTATCTCGGTGGCAGGGCTGGTCTGTCCTTCGACTGAGCCAGTTTCTCCCGCATCGAGGTGGGCAGGGCATCCGCGAGTGTCTCCACATCTGGGTTGTCCACCCCGGTGACCGCAATATCCCGGAGGGCTGGCAGTTCTGAGAAGGGCAACCAGTCCTCACCTGTAGACAAGCGGCATTAAAATCTTCGTCTCAACCGGGTCAATCATGTCCTCTGCCTGGGAATAGGCCGATCCGGAAAAGACTTTAAACAGTTGTCAAACATGAGGGGATTTTGTCGCTTTTTAATTTCCTTAGAAATTATCTACGAAGTCGGAGTAGATCAGTTTATTCAAGGTCTATAGGCACAGATCGAGAATTTTATACATGAATATTTGGGTCAAAGTCCATCAGCCCCAGCGGGTAACCGCGTAATATTCATTAACTGCCGACAGGCAGCTAGTAGTATACTTTAGATTAAGGTGATACCATACTAACAGCACACGCACTAGCAAAAAGCCCATACACGCGTGTTTCGTAGATATTCTGCCGCTGAATGGCGCAGCTGCGAGGGGTCGGCTCGTCAGTGCATCCCCCAGCATTCCCCGTGTGCTGTCAAGTATGGTATATCGTCCTACCTGTGTATATAAAACTGGTTGCCTGTTGGAAGTCTAGGAATATCACGTTGTTATTCCGCCGGGGCTGGTGGACTTTGGCCCGAATATTCATATCGAATTTCAGTCTCAAATAGACCAATTTACTCCTAGTTAGCGATTAATTTCTGAGAAAATTAAAAAACTGCGATTTCAAAATTGGAGTATTCACCAGAATGCGCACAGGGGACGCTAGGGGACTCGCTGATAAACCGAAGAGCAGCAGAATATCGGCGAAACACGTGTCTGGTTTTTTAACTAGTATCCATGCTGTCAAGTACGGTATATCGTACAAACTATGTAAACATTGCGTGATTAATATTACTGATTTGCGTGGCGTAATGCAATTTTTGGGCTAGCTAAAAATAGGCCAAATAAACGCCAATAAGCATAAAAAACATTACCGAAAAGGCCATTGTGTTTAGAAGGGTTTGACTCCTTATGAGGGAGTGTAGTTTGCCACGAACGTCAGCAAATCTGAAGGGCACATGCGAGGTGTTTACACTGCGGGCCAAAGTCTTATTACCCTAATAGACTGACTTAAATTGACTCTTTTAGTTTCGTTACAGCCCATCATGAAACAAATTGTACATGAAAAACCCGCACCACCGTCGCCAACGTGATTAGGGACGATGTGTTTTTCGTTCCGTACCATGACTATGCCAAAGAACTTGTCGTGCTTTAGAACCCTCCCGATGAAACCTGCTTTTATCCTCGTCTCAAAGTCAACATAGTCCACAAAGCTGACTTGGTGTTGGAGTGCAGAAGCGGCAACTCGTACAGTCAGGTCACAATGGGAAACCAAACTTCGGGACTCCATGTGCGAGTCGCAAGTTTAAAATGGGTCAACGCATGCCATGGATATTGTGTTGTTCTGGTGTCTACCATTGGGGTAGGATGAGTCAGAATAGGAGACAGAGCAAAGCCGCTCGAGGAGAGTCATAGAATATGTGTTGAGGCATGTCGTCCGCAGGGGAGCGTGCAGCAACAGAAATTTGGTTCGCCCGCGCACCGCCAGCATTCTTCGCGACACCAATCATAACTCTGATCGAATTGCTGTAATAATGGAAGTATTCTCAAGGCAGCAAGCGTCTTCTTTAATTGGGCCAATTTAGCAAGTGTTTGCCCACTGCTATACCTTAGCCCTTTTCTACTGCCGGCCCATGCGCTTTCTTATTATTGACAGCAGGCACTTCGAAAGAAATTGCCTCATATCCAGTCTTGGCATTTCGTGGGTTAGTTACTTATGGGAAATACCCATAACTCACCCCTGAATGAGAGCATTGGACTCCACATACACTTTATAACTCAACAGCATATCGATGGTAGGCGCTATTAAGTTTCCCGGGGCGCTGCATTTTTATTGTCAGGCTGAGAGAACGGCTGGGTTGGTAGCCAGTTTTAGAGGCCAATAAAAATCACGGTTACTACAGCAAAATCGGACACAAAGAATTGCTATGTAAAGTCCTTTTCCTCCCTACCATTGTACCAGGTCACTTGTGGTTTATTTGGAGACTACCAGCTTTGACCTTTAGTTGAGAGTTTATGAGTCACGGTGGCTGAGACGGTTTAGATCTCGTAAGTGAAAATATGTACTCTCACACGAAAAGCCGCGCAACCATATGTGCAACCGTGCAAAATGACCATCTGAGGGCATTCATAGGTCGCTGCCTACGCTGTCGCCACCAGAGGAATCAAACATCAACACCCCCAACGATAAGGCATTATCTGCCATACATCAAGGACGTTTCGGAAGCGACCGAGCGCATGGCTGCGGAGCTAGGTGTTGGAATTGCACACCGTCCTAAAGCCACCATGCGAAATATGGTCATGAAAATTAAACACCGGTTAAAGCCTGAGGAGCAATCTGATGTAGCGCATCGCATCCCGTGCCAAAACTGTCCTTCTAACTACACAGGCCAGACTGGACGCATGCTCGGATCGCGCATACACGAGCATTAGCCCGCACTATCACAAGTGGCCGCCCACACCTACGAAATGGGTCACGAGTTTAACTTCGCAGCCACCAAAATAGTCGCCCACGGCGGAAACAAAACAGGCCGAGAATTGATTGAAGCCTGGGCCTCGGATGAGAACTCGATCAATTGACTTATCGATCTGGCGCCGGCGTACAGAGCCCTGCGCAGTCACCTTCAGTCTTGCGCCGTCGTCTGATGATTGGCCTACATGCCCTATAACTGCCGCTTATTCTGTTGCTGTTACTATCTCTGACTATGGACTCCTGCACGAGTCCGAAATCTCAGGACAATAACCAAAGTGTGCCGGTACTCGACCCCTCTTCTTCTTCTTCTTCTTCATTTATGAATACACCTGGTACGAGACAAGACATGCTTTCAATTCCGTACTGGTGGTCACGAACGAGCGATTATCCGCGATAGCCCGTCCCCCTGATCGCCGGCGCCTTTTCACGCTGCCCGTTGATTCTCCGCGAGAGGCTTGTCATTAGCATTGCGAGAGCTCGAAGCAATCAGCGTTGCTCTTTTGCTGATTGACTGTAAAGCGGACACAACTCAGACAAAGCAGAGGCGTACACACGTGCTGAGGGCCAAGAACGTCAACGGCGGACACTGACACGCACAGCTTGCCTGACGGGACAGCTTGTGACAACTGCTTTCTGAACCTCATGTACGCTCTGTCGTACCAATAGAGCTTTCCAGCATAACCCGTTCTCCCTGACTTGTGATTTAGTGATCTTCATGTTGTCGACCATTGAGAAATCTTGCGTCGGCTGCCCATTTTGGCATATGTACCAGGTTGCAAGACGATCAGACAATGGCAGAGGTAGACCAACAAAGACAATGGGCACTGGGAAACAACAGCCATTTCAGGTTTTTTGGGGGCGTTTTGGTTGGATGACCAAAAGTCTGGGACATCTGGGTCTGCGTCACGCCCACCTGGTCCAAACCCGCCGAAACAATACATTTAAACAAGGCTGCATCCTTATCAATGCTTAACGACAAGGGATTAGACCGGACATTCTAAGACTCTAATTCGATGCTAGCTAATGTCTGCAATTGTAAAGGTGTAGGATTGATCAGTTATCCATGGTTCACCATGTCTAGAAAAAAATATTTCTTCAGGCCTTCTTTTTTTAAGCCAAAAACTTCAACTCAAACGTGGTTGCAGAGGCGACAGCTTTATACATACTAGATCGTGAGAGAAGAATTTTATGCAGGATAAAATGTCGCAAAAACGCCTACTTAAAACGTTTCAGTACACGAAGTTCATGGTTTAAAAGGCAAGGTCTGCTCTCATCACTCGTGGCATATAGGTAAGGGCGAGTTATGACAGAGTACACATTAGGGGGCCAGCAGTAGAGGAGTAAGGAACGCACGTATTTGCCGGCCAGCCTGTTTACGTTCCTGTTCGGTCTCGAAGACGGTAATATGGTCCTGCCAGTGCATGTCGCAGGCAGCACATACGGAGGCTGAGTTGAAGGCACCGCAACCGCAGCCCTTGGCTCGACAGCGATAGGGCGAGGGGTAGCACTCGTGCTCCTCGTGAGTGTGCTTACATGAACACTTCATGCGATAGGCTTCAGGATCAAAATCACGTCTCTTGCGCAACCAGAATTCACCAAATTCCTCCGGTCGGCCGGGAGCGTACATGAAGCGTTTACATTTGCAGTTATTCTATGCAGTGGGAAAAGCAGAACTGGTTATTCAAGTCTACAGTGATGGAAAGTCATGAGCCATGATAATTTTTCTGCCACCTTGTTTTCCCTCATTACGCAGCTAGCTATGGCCACAGGCACAGCATAATGTTCCTATGTCTGCTAAAACTGCTGCTACAATTCAACGTCTACATACTTCGGCAAACAACCTGCCAATAACTCAACACTACTGCTGCACCTTAAACATATTTGACAGCTTTCTGTGCCATGTGCACGCAAAAGCGGCGAAAACCTTTCCTTGAAGGGTTGGGCGAGGCTGACGTGCTGGAGGAAGGCTACGATTATTAATCCAGCCGTCCTACGCTCGATCGATAAAGGCAAATCACAATCAAGTAATCGGCACACTAAGTGAAGTGCTAATGGGGTCTCTGCAGTAGTCTGCCGGCCTTCTGTCTCAGTCAACGCTTCGCACTTTCGTGTTGCAATGTGCTGAGCCAATGTGTGAGGTGAGGAAATATTTTGACCTTTAACACTTAGGAAACAATCCGCCAAATGTGTTTGTATATCATGGAGCCAGGATATGCTGTTTGGGAAATTGCATGTGTAGTAGACGTGTTAACTCATGAAATACAAACCGAAAATTTAAAATGCGTTTTTGACTCGAAAATATTGCTTAAGTTGGATCGTGGTATCAATCAACATACCGCCTAATCCCAAGATACTTCTGTTATTTTGGGATGTCAGCTTATAAATGAACATCTGTCCGGCCATCTACAAAACGTACCCCGTAAAAATGATTACTTAATGGTAGGGGGCGCTCACCGGTCGTTCTTACGGAACTCACTCCTTCCGTTGTGCCTTACGGGCTCTCTCGAGTCCAACCAGCCCCTACCGTTGCATATTCCCGATCGAAACCGACAGGGCAGCGGGCTCGTGGCCCAGTGGTTAGAGGAGTGAACTTCTAACTAACAGGTCGGGAGTTCGAGCTTCGGGTGTTCCACACTTCGGGGTTGGGTGTGACTGGCTGACGACGGCTAATAAGCCAGAAATGACCACTCCATTCTCCCTTGTCTTTGTCGGTAATAGCGTCCTGCCTAAATGATTACTTAAGCAGCATGAATTTTTCTCATTGCTATTCGGTGCCCTTATAAATTCAAATATATTTCATTGGAAACATGCAAAAAATATTCATTCTTTTACTAATTTGACAGGAAATTACGTCTTCTTCAATTTTTTTCGAGGGAAGAGTATAATTCGGTTTTAAAAAACTTCCTAATTATGAGAGTTTCTAAGACCGCGAAATTCCCCTTCATAAAATATCGTGCCTCTGCATTTGCTAATGCTGCTTGTAAAGTTTAAAATATGGCTCAAGTCCACTGTTACATTTTATGAATTTATAGAAATGTATAATTTTCCATACAATGAAAATTTACAGCTGGTAGTTTGGAAACCCTGAATACAAGTGTAGTTCTTCTTCCTACCACACCCTGTCACCGACTTAACGCCAAAATACACAGAGTGTTCGGATGAAAAGACATATTTTGTAATTCGCACTCAGCATAGCACGTTTTCGCTTCTGTGTGAGCCGCAATTTACGACTTCGTAAGGTGTTTTAGAGGTTTAGAAACGTGGGAAGCAAAAGTCAGCGGCTGTTCACTGACACATAACTGACTATTTCAAATAGAAAAGATAGCATTCGTGACGATGGGCAGCATCAGAGTTCGTGGAGATTTTTGTCAGGCAGACGGGACAATATATCCTAATCGCGGGACGGCAGAATAGGGGACTGCGCCATACCCTGGATTCCTGGGCGTGCGGTCAACACAGGCGGTCGCACTGATCAAGTGGTAGGAACATTTAACATAAAACGGTGGATGACCTACAATCCTGCGTAGCACGTAGGGTGCGCCGGCGTCGAGAACAGGGACCAGAATGCCTGATGACGGGATATAGGCTAAAAATTGTCATTCAGGTGTCGCTTGTCTTCGTCAGCAACCGCCCGGTGACCCTACTGGGTGGGCTCTAGAGCCTTACCTTTAACGCAAAATAGAAGCGACAATTCCTGTCTTGTAATCGGGGGCGATTAGTGCACGCCACTAGCATAGGACTGATCATTTTCGACCTCGGCCGCTAGTCTAATGGCACAGACCAACTATTGGCCGGTTTCGATACAGACCTCGAAGGCGCGATCTGAGATTCAGGAAACACTGAACAACGGTGGCTATTTTACCAGCACTGGCTGTTCCATTGTCTGTATCTTCGTCGATAAAACTTCTCAATGAACTTTTTGGTTAACGAAATACTTCATGTGGCACTAATCCAGGGTGCGACACAAGGAGACTTCCTATTTCCAAACTGGTAGTTGACAGAACGATGTTCGCCTCTCGGTCTTCAGTTTCGAAGTTGACATTTAATGCTTAATACTCATTTGCGCATCTCCTTATCAGCGAAACTGTGTGGATACCATAGCGAAAGTTTACTAAAATGTTTAAATTCGAAGGAACAAGACTTTTGCCTCTAGCGGCCGGGGTAATTAAGATTAAATTCAGTTAATGAGATTTTGGCATGTTAACAGTTCCCATATGCAAACTTGGGCCAATGAGACCAGTCCCCATGTCGAACGCAAACACCCTTATCAAAACGAAGCTTTAGTCCATCCGACCAATGAGTTCGTGTGGATATTTGTGGACTTTTGACAGAAGAGTACTTTTAGTGGACTTTTTAGTCGTTTCCACAAACTGCCTATAGTATGCATTAAATGCAAAACAAAAAACCAGGTTTTGTGGGGTACAGGCAGTCTAAGTATTTTCAGCCTAAGAGGTGATTTAAAGTGAAAACAGATCAACCCCAAAAAGTCACAATCTGCGAGAGTTAGAGAACCTGCTTACAAATAAACATTCAACTACGTATTAGAATCTAGAGATGAAGTTGAACTACTCTTAGTCAATGCTTCAAAATTTCTTTTGAATTTTAAAATCAGTCCACTACGAGTATTCAGATTTTCATGTAAAAGAAACATAAATGGCTGCAAAATGCGGTCACTGAAACTGTTGAACAGACTTAAGGCTGCTAAATCGATGGCCTGCCATTGGAACTCCCCAGACAAGGTGTTACGAGACAGAGAGAACCTAATTTTATTAACTAAGAAGTTGAGACTATGGCGGTATTCTGCTTAGAGGATCCAGATGACATTTTAGCGGATAAAGTTTATTCCAATCACGACAGCTCGCCTCCAGCTTTCCGAAGTAGCTAACTGCAAGATGTTGAGGTTCTTCTTCATACAGAAACGCCCCCAGATAAATACAACAGCCTGATGAACACTTAACGGATCTCTTAGTACTATGAAACATCTGACGAATGAATAAAGCTCATGTTACCTGAGCACAGGACACATTGTGATTTTTCGTGAAGGGTGCGTGCTCCTTCAGCAAATGCGAACAAAAACACCGACCGGACGAATTGACACGAATGCAGTCTTGATCATCGTGCGGGGGTCTGGAGGGTCGCAGGGAAACATATATGCCTAAAACGAGTGTCAGAAAGAAGTATAATGAAAATATTCCTTCCAGAATAACGTCGTACCAAACTTCACTGCCGGCTTTATACGGCTCCAAAGCCAACAGGCTGTGAGTCTGTTGGAGGCGAAACACACTTCAATGCTAATGCGATCAAAACAGATGCATTTATTGCCCAATACCGAGGCTTAAATGGGGACAGATTAAACGTCTACATGGTGCGCTAGGACAGTGTCTGCGCATGATAATGCGAGATAAACAAGGGTAATTTGTAAAGAAACGGTCACCAAAATTAACAAAGATAATCAGCCAGTCTTACTTCATTCTGTATGGACCAAAAACTAATGTCATTTTTATTGTTTACTCGCTAGAAGCTTTGAAATATGTGTTCTGGACTTTGCAAATGAAAATTTTGTCATATATTGGCGGAAATGAAGTACTTAAATAAAATTAACAGTTTGCAATGTTCAGTAGACCCGATGAGAAGTCAGCATAAGGAAATATCTTGGAGTCATGCCAGAATCAGAGAACCCTAAGGGGAAATCACATAACGTTTACAAAGTAGCCTATAGACTAAAAAGACACTTAAATGACATGTATTACTTATAAATTGACTAATGACTCAGAATAGTTTCCGGGGAGTTAGAAAGCCTATAGGAAATAGTTGATCGCCTTACGTTGGTAAATGCACTTGCAGATAGGAGAGCTAACAAGAAACCTCTCCAAGTAAAGTGCACGTCCAAAGACGGGGAGAGTGTGTTGAAACATAAAAATTCAGCAAATATCTGCTAAAACTACCAAAGAACACTTAACCCACAAGATTTTCTGCTGCTTAGGACAAATCCTGGAAATCGTAAAATAGGCAGTATTATCTTCAAAAGACGACAGATGTTAATGAACATGTACAAATAGACAACAGGCGTTTTACATGACACCATGTTTCTAGACTTGAATGGAAAAATTTGTGTTATCATTCCGATTTTTCGTGTAACATCAATAAAATTATAAATGTTTTGGCCCTGAACTTTGAAGAGCCGTCATTTTCTGTCAGTCAAAAGATCGTGAATTAAGACGGACATAATGGCAAAAGGTTTGCTAAGGAATGAACTTTTACTCAACAATGTCCTAAATACGTATAACAGAATAAATAAAACGGCGAAATAATGTAGCCTATGTGTGCGGCAGCATATTGCTTAGAATAGACGACATATTCAAAAGGAGTGGCATACATTGAATCACTTGCAGCGACAAACGGAAAGTAGAAAACCGACCATGCACATTTAAAGTAGGCAACTGGCAAACTGCTATCTGACGAACGAGAGCCGGTCAGGTGGGCATCATATTCGGAGTGAAACAAATGATGAAAAATAAAATCCGCATGCATTGATTAAAAAATACTAAAATACCCAGAATTCCCCCGAGTCTGTCAAGGAGACTGAAATAACACTCGTGAAAGAATTTGTTAATTCCTGAAAATTAA